GGGGGGGGGGGAGGGGGTGGAAGGCGAACTAGGTGTTATAGGTAAAGAAAGGTCCAACTCTATTTGGACTGGGTCACTGAGGTAATCACACTATTGAGAGGAATGTTTGGGTCACAGTAAGGCTCATATGTCGCACTCCACCAGTATTATAGCTCGACCAAGTAGGGGTCGATGAAATGAAGTTGAACAAGTTGCATAGCTCGTTCAACATGGGTTTAACACCTAAAAGCATATTGGTGGTGAGACCTGGAAACCTCGATGAGTCATGAGACACACCTCGGCCTAAGGCAAGCAGGAGGACCTGAAGAGCATCAGTTGTGTGAACACATTAAAATTAAGCACAACCATAGGGGCAGCCCCTAGGCAGCCAGCTGTACCCTCGGGTAGCCCTTTAGGCACTCCGTTGACTTTCAGGGGCCCTTTGGCAGCAAGAATTCGTGGGCACCAAGACAAAATTTATTAGGCATCAATGTAATCACAATATAAATAGAAGTAAGGTGTGGTGAGCGATTTCTTCATTTGATATCTAAAGTATTCTCAATGACAATATCTTCCACATCCACATACTACTTGATCGTCGAAGTGAAAACGTTGGGAGTACCTTCCGGCCCTTGTTTTGTATATCATCAACTACGTAACGGGCATTCCCATCTTAGGCAATCGGGTAATCAAGTTAATCCATCAACTGAAGGTTTAGACATATCTGGGTACCTAAAATTGGAACTATTTGGTAGGCCATTGTGAATGGGAATTCGAAGCTGATTATAGAGAATATGCATTTTCCATATGCTGAAACTCCAATGCTAGATTCAAGTGAATTAGATGTCCGATCTTTTATATGATATAACATTTACAATTTTATGATATAATTCTATTTGAAATATAAGGTGTAAAAAACGTCTGTAAAATCTTTGATAGGATGGGGCCAAATTAGTCTTCAGATTATTATTGGTTTATTATGTTATCATCCGACTCGATAATCCACTGTTGAGAGCCTTAAACAATATCTTAAGCAAAATTAACCCTTGCACCGACATGATCCAAAGCCGTCCCGGTTCGCATGATAAACCAGCATGAGCCACAGAAGACCGAAGTGGTCACTACCTACCGAAGTCATCCCAACCGAGGTCAACACAAACCGAGGTCATCACCTCTTAAGCAGGTGACGAGGCGCCTACACACCACACTCACCAACTACGAGGTCTACCATCATGGAAATGGGACCCACTGACCCAGCCGCCCGCCAAAAAGTAGCTTTATGGAAAAAGCAATGCACGAATTCCGATATGTATCTCAAAAAGTTGCTATAAATAGCCAGATGAACACACTTCTACGGGATTCGATCCCAAAATATCTTTCACAATGCAAACGAAACGGCTCATAGAAGCTTTTCACCTCGGTCCACCTCGGACCGGGGCCATTGCTGATTACTTTTTACACAATCAACGTTCAAATTACTCTTAATCATCAAACACAAACACCTTTAAACCGTTGTTAAGAATCATACGACAACAGATTGGCGCTAGAAGGAGGGCCTCATAAGTTATTTGAGGTCAATCTTCGATCTTTGCTTTCCTGCCCACATCAGTTCCTATAAATATGACTCATTCCGATCATCGTGGTCACACATCACGAGACGGCCACAGTCGTAGCGCTGCCCATTTCGCCAGATGGCCAGCGGCACCCCCAAATGTCCCAGATTATACTGTCCTGTTTCAAAATCCAGAATTGGCACGTGGGTTCGTCGCCCTGATGGCTCAAACAATCCCAGGGACGTCCACGACCGCGCCAGGACATTCAATCATACCCACGACTCCTGCTAACCTACAGGTACCACCGGAGCGACAAGACGGTGGCAGGACCACTTCTCATGCCACTTCTCAGCCGCGCAGTCGAACGTCGCATCCACGCCCAGAACAAACCACACGTCATGCCAATATTGGACGCGCTCATTTGACGACCCTTCAGAAAAAAGTTGTCGAAAGCCAATCCGGCCATTCACGGCGTTCGCCACCTAGACTTGTCAAAACGGGCCGGCGGGGCGGGCCAGCCCGTAGCCCGCCAAAACCCGCCTTT